TCACTCCTGATCATCTAAGAATTGTCCTGACACATTGCAAATTTGGATTTTTAAACAAAATTTTTTTACTCAACCCAGACCAGAACCAAAATGGCGTCGAGCTCTCATATTTCTATCAATATACAATTATAGAAAGGCTCTGATATGAGAATCGAAAGGGTCAGGACAATTTTACGACAATTTAGAACACTCTGGTAATCGATAAACTTGCATTTGAACGGGATAAGGGCAAAAAAAGTGTTGTATGCGCTTCTATGTTAAAACGATGGTAATACGAGGTCTCGGAGTGAAAATTTAATTGACCTGGAAATCACAGATGGCGCAGGGGGTCCCTCCGCAGTCAATTAGGGCCCCAAAAAGCACGAATCCAGAGGATTTCTGGAGTTTTACTTCGATTTCTTTATAATTATTGTACGGAAATGACAGTTGGAGTATGCCATTTGGTACAATATCCAATATGATTCGACACAGCTGTCAATATAAAAACGAACATCGGCAACGTAGGCACTTAGAAAAATCTTCTTCATCGACGTCAATCAAGTCCTTAAGTGTCTAAGCATCGGATTACACGTACACTTTTACACCTATATGAATCTTTTTATTCCATCTGCTTGGATTTCATTCAAGATCGGTTCTTGAGATGCAATGCCCCTGGGACCGGAAATTAGGAGATCCGCGAGACTCGAGTTGTTATACGAGAGCATTTACACGCCGTATAATTATATATACGTATATGCGTGTGTGTATGTATTCGGGGACGGGAAAAGACGCGGTACGCACGCCGTTTGCACAGATGTATACACGGGAGCGTCTATTTTCGTTCGGCGACGACACGCGGAGGTTCCCGGGATGTTTGAACAACTGTGGGACGGCGATAGGGCGCGCGTGCTCGCCCGTGTACATTTGTGGACATGAATGCCTTACCTACGGATATAGTCCCGCTAGTAGGCGACGGGGAGGGATTCCTGTTCGTCACTGTACGAGAGAACGGGCACGAAAATCCACGCGTGGGCCGAGGAAAACGTGGAGACGCGCGCGGATGCGGGTGCGCGCGCACCGCCCGATTGGCCTCCCCTCTGGCGGCGCCACGCGCGAACTCGCAGACTCTCGTCTACTCGACGTCGGAGCCTATCTAGACGCCACGTGGTCCATGGAAAGCTATCCAATACATATTCTTGCCGATCAAGCCTATGAGGCAATTCTCCTGGGATGCAGTGGGGTGCGGCAAAATACCAAAAAGAAACTCGACAGAGTTTCAAGCCAAATACATTTGCCCGAAAACGGTGTCAAGGGACGAGAGTGAGATATCTCGCGACTTAACCTAACTCAAACCTTAGGGTGACGTGGAAAGGCCACTAGGTTTCGATGTCACTTTTACCCAAACTGAATGCACCAGATCGTTTGAAGCTTCAACTTTATACGAAGGTCCTAACGAAAGTCGGGAAACTCGAGAAATATTAATTATCTCTTTTCTTGTCTTATCTCTTGTTCGAAGGATTCGAGACTTTTATCGGGACCTTCATAACCACGTGCCGATGTTTCTAATTATTCGGTATGTCCAGTCTGGAGAAAAATTGTGAAAAAATATTTTCACGCTTTGACGTGTATGGAGCTCTTTCGTGTCACCAACCCCTTGACGCACAGATTTTTGGGAAAAAACCGGCAAAAAAAAAAATCCATTTTTTTATGTAAAAAAAAAACACTAGAACATTGTCTTGGCAAAAAAAATAAAATTCTCGATTATATTCGAGGGTGAAAAATTATAGTAGTATAATATANTTATTTTTGTAACCAGTAGTCCTCGATTTTCTGGGGGATTCTGGGAGATCCTTGCGTCGCGAGAAACGCATCTACGATTCGCTAAGCTGTACGCGACTGCTGGGATGTTTATGAATGCGGAGATCGATCGAGTGCCTCGGTGGCGCCTGTCGATGACCCCGCCGAGCCGCGGTCGCGCCGCCGGCGGAACCAACGGCGACACCGGCGTAAATGGGAGTTCCACCAAGAGATAACCTCCGCCGCAACGGGCTAGGCCGCAGCGAGGCGCTGCCAGTGCTGGTGCACGCGCTCCTAACCTCTAAGGCCACGGCTGCCAGGCTTTGCTATCTGCGACTCGAGCACGCGCGAGCCGGATGTATCGGTGGCCTTTTTCGACTCCACTACACTCTGTTAAGGTGAAGTGAAACACGTCGAGGAACTTGATCGACGTCAATAAAGAAGATTTTTCTAAATGTCTACGTTGCCGACGTTCGTTTTTATATCGACAGCTGGGTCGAATTATATTGGGTATTGTACCAAATGGCATACTCCACCTGTCGTTTTCGTACAATAATTGTAAAGAAATTGAAGTAAAACTCCAGAAATCCTCTGGATTCGTGCTTTCTGGGGGCCTAATTGACTGCGGAGGGACCCCCTGCGCCATCTGTGATTTTCAGGTGAATTAAATTTTCACTCCGAGACCTCGTATTACCATCGTTTTAGCATAGAAGCGTGTACATCACTTTTTTTGCCTTTATCCCGTTCAAATGCGAGTTTATCGATTACCAGAGTGTTCTAAATTGTCGTAAAATTGTCCTGACCCTTTCGATTCTCACATCAGAGCCTTCGATAATTGTACATCGATCGAAATATCAGAGCTCGACGCCATTTTGGTTCTGGTCGGGAATGAGTTAAAAAATTTTGTTTAAAAATCCAAATTTTGAATGTGTCAGGACAATTCTTAAATTATCAAGAGTGATGTGGCAAAGTTTCGGACAGTTTGGTCTAATACCCTTAAAACAAAGTGTTGTATTCGAATCGACTGATTTGAAGGGTGTTTCACTTCACCTTAACCCATTTGCATCATAAGGAAGTATAAAAAAGAGGGTCCTTATCAGGAATTTTTTTTGTCTTATATTTAAGTACAAAAATTACAAGTAAAGGAACTTCATATTTCAGCTTTGTTGCACGATCATGTTTTCATGATTGTGAAGTGGAATTTTGTTTGTTTTTAATTAGACATGGCAACTCCTTATTTGTTAGGATCGTCCCAGTTAAATGACGAATCTTTTCCGAATAATGAAATTTCGTGGGTTTCAAGACGTCGTTACCTAGATTTTTTTTTAAACGCTGAATTAATGAGTTTTAATGATTATCGGGTCTGTCCATCAGTGGCGTGGAAAAAGGCTCAGTCGAAAGGTTAGGTTGCCGCGTTACGCATTTTGCGTCTGTTTGGAACGCCATGAATTAAAATGGCGGATCTCCGCGTCAGTAGTTACGCTGTAGACTTTGCTGATGGAGCTCCTTTTTGAATCTCGGACCAACGGTCACCTCGTTTTAATTTCCCTTTTTTTTTTTTTCTTTCCTCTGCACGTTCCCTTCGTATAAGGCGAGGGTTTGTAAATTCGACTCGTTAGCGAAGCGGCCTAAGTCGTAACGACGCTCGTGTCGATGACATTAAACGGGAGAGCCAGCTGAGCAGATGGCCAAGCAGCGCGGAGCCCTCGGCAGGGTTATCGCGGTGATAACTGGCTACTCCAAAGATGGCCTCGATCGCCAGGTGGCTGATTGAGGTTATCTCCCGATACTCGAAACGACCGCGCTTTTCCACGCCTCCTGGCCCCTTATTTCACGCTACCTCTTGACCAATGGGATCCGCGACATAATCGTAATATTAATATAATCGTAAAGTAGAGGATGTCTTTTCATTACACATTTTTCTAGAGTAAAAAGTATAATTTCGATACAGACTTGTATATGATTAAGACCAGAGGTATCATTGAGAGATGTGCCCATAATTATGAAAGTGGTCTAAGTCAAAATGAAAAAAAAAAAAAATGAGTTTATCAGTTATTTCACGCCATATTATTTCAAACGAAATTAATTCAATGTAATTTCGAAACAAGAAATATATGACTTAGACCACTTTCATAATTATGGGCACAGATCTTCTAATGAGATCTAGGAGACACCTTGAAGAAGCATCCGTCGCCAGAGATGTTGGAAATAAGATTGGAAATATGATATTTATAAATTATTACGTGCTACTCGGGTCTTATTGCCCATTTGCATATGGCGGTTTCTTTCCCGGCTCTTCCGGGAGAGAAGACTTAGCGGATTAGTGACCACGGTCCCCTGATGGACCCCTCTGGCGGGCAATTTGCGAGGCTGAATGGAGTCTGGATTTTTGCGAAGCTTCCTTTTCTCCAGTGACTCCTGGAACGAGGCGAACGGGTTCTCCCTCGTTTTTCTCCTACGTGACTCACTCTGATTAGCGCCCCGACGCTAATGGAGTGGGCTGCCGCTCTATGCGGACTCTATTAACCTCCTCCTTTCTCGAAAACGAAACCTGTGCCTCGTACTAATTCGGATTCAGTTCTCCCTCTGTCTTTCTCTCCCTCTCTACTTCTCCGGGTTTTCCTTTCCCGCGTTACACATTTGCATAAGTTGCTTCCCGCGGAGGTTATGTAACTTTGGAATTCATAATGTATGCCATCGCCCGCTGCCCGCTTCCTCTCGTCGCGTTGTCTTTGCACGTCATACCCTCCGCGATTATGCCGGGGGAGCCGCGCCGGAGGTTCCTGAGGTCTCGGAAATATGTAAATCTCACCCGGGTGGAATTTGCAGAATGTTAAAACCCGACTTTGGTATGCGCGTCTCGTGTCGCTTCGTCTTGCAACGCTCGCCAGTTTTCGGGGTCTCCGGACGAGGACCTCGGGAGCCGACAGGAGTTCTGCAAACTCGAAAAATACAGTGTCTCGAGGTATCGGCTCTTCTGATTCACTGTTCCACTTTCTTTTCCCCTTGGTCTCGCTTTCGTAGAGCGGCTGGGCGCTTCGTGAGGCCGATCGGAAATCCCGAGGTGGGCCACCGCGGGAAAAATGGCGGCCCACGGTCGTAGGTGGCGCCGCGGGCTGCGCGGTCGCTCGCGTGTGCCCGCGCCTCCTCGAAAGGCGATAAAAGGAGCCGAGCCGAGGGTGCAAGCGAGAAAAGCGATTCTGGCGCCAACGGCATGTGGCGGCCACGCGGACAAGCTGGCCTCGCTAGATGCCCTCGGTCCCCGGATAATCCGGAGGCAGAGCTTTGACCGTTTAAAATCCTGCTGCCTCCACTTCGAAACACGAACGCTACACGTAGCCTCGATTAAGGGGACATGAAAGTGCCATCCGAAGAGTCAATCGTTCATGAAACCACCTGAATATAAAGACTGCGAGGAAAGTCCTAACACCACAGAAATTTAATTTTTTCTAAACAATTTTTTAAATACCTGTGAAGAAATTTCATTTAAAAAAATTGAAACTTCATGAGTTTCTGGACCTTCCTTACGTCCTCCATATTTATGTCGTAAAGTTTGTATCGATTCGGCACATCCAGTTTGAAGATAAGTTTCATGAACGGGAATTCTTTGACGCCACTTTCACCTCACCTTAAACGCTCAATTAAGTACACCAAGTATCCAGTCATGTACAACTTTTATTCCGCTCATTGTTCGGGTCTTAACGATCAGGGGGTTAGGTGGGCATCGGAAAGGGCTGACGAGACGTCGGGAAAGGGCAGGAGCGCCGCCAATCTGTAGTCGAGAAACTTGATGCCCAACGGCACCATATAGGTCCGTGGAAGGGTGGGAAAGTATCGTCCACGCGATCGCTCATCTCGCGCACTGTTTCGTGGACGATACTTTCCCCACGGCCGGCAGGTAGTTTGTCGCCGATGCTCCTCTCGTCGACGATAATCCGGCGCTATTTGCACGAGTCGCTACGCAGACGAGTGGAACCGGAGTGAGGTTAGGATGTGTGCGACGGGCGGCGTGGGTGGAGACGAAACGTGTGTAGTGGAGTGGACTTAGGTTGAACGACAGGGAGAGCGCCATTGTATGAGCGGCTGTGTGCGTTGCTGGCGTTGCTGGTGTCGGGTCTGCCTCGTTGATGGTTCTGGGTTGGACGTACAGGTCGCAACGTTGACGCCAGGAGGTCCTAGGGCCAATAGACTAACTTATAGCCCCCTCCATTCCAACGTCCCAAAGCATGATAATTCCAAAAATCCACTCACCTACACATCCAGCGTTGTCCTTACATTCAAACTCCTTCATTGACTCACCTGATACCTAAATATTTACCTTTGTACACCTTGAGGTCACCGCGACTTATAATCTTGGTCCCGACTGCGCACTCCGAGCCGCCAAGTTAACCTAAAATCGAAACGACCTAATCGGTACAGATGAGTACCAGTCTCGAGGAGTACAGACCTGTGTCCGCCATCTTGTTTACTCCCTCGGGGTTATATTCGGCAGTAATTCCATTGTTTTCTCGGCAGAATGCCCGGTCGCGACGTGACGCCTCCACCGGGCCGACGTAATGACCCAAATGCCTAGACTAAGGAGTTGTCAGAGAGGAGGTCCGAGGCTCGAAGTAGCCCCGTCAACTTGGCGACCTGTACGAGCCCCCGGCCGAGAATAGCAGATCTCTCTCCGTTTGTAAATCCGCCGGATGAGTGGCGCATTATAATCGACCGAGGGAGAGGGAGAGAGAGAGAAAGCGCCAGATGGTAGCAGCTGGATGACGCACCTCGACGCGAGATGTTTTCAGCGCGCTCGCGGCGGGGAGGCGAACCGAGTGGCCGGCTAGTACCGATTCCGCCCACCGGAGGCGCGACCCGAGGACGCGGCGCCTCGCGCCGCTAAACGGGGAACGCGGCTAAACTTAGAGCGCACGTGTCGCGTTTAACGACGAGACCTCTCGCCCTCGTGACTGTAACACGCGGCCAAGCACATTGGGAAGGGCACACCGGCTCGAAAACAATTCTGTATCGAATTCCCTCCGTGAGCGCATCCCCACACCTACGGGATCTTACGGACATCTACCCTAAGAAAAAAAAAGAAAAAGATTTATTGAGCCAAAGAAACACTTTGTTGCTTCAAGAAATAATTATTTCTTCGTTAACAAAGTATTTCCTTGATTCAACGAATTTCTTTGTTTTTCTCAGGGCAGGGAAACCCATTGACGATGAAACTTCAACTGGACGCCTTCGGCAATTTTGGTGATATCAGTCTCAAATTCAAGAGTAACGAGTAATAAAGCCATTCGCGGATATTAAATGACTTTTAAGGTCTTCTTATGGTAGTTATGGCCTTCCGAAGAAAGTGAAATGCTCCTCAGGGCGATGGATCTAGTAAAGAGACGCGGCGCTCAGTCGGAGTCGTGAACTTGTCCGAGACGCAACCTCGAAGAATCGATTCGGAATTAATTAGCTACCCTAAGAAAAAAAGAAAAAAAAATTCATTGAGCCAAAGAAATACTTTGTTGCTTCAAGAAATAATTATTTCTTCATTAACAAAGTATTTCCTTGATTCAATGAATTTCTTTTTTTTTTATCAGGGCAGAAAAACCCATTGACAGTAAAACTTCAACTGGAAGCCTTCGTCAATTCTGGTGATATCGGTCTCAAATTCAAGAGTAACGAGTAATATAGCCATTCGCGGATATTAAATGACTTCTAGAGTCTTATTATGGTAGTTATGGCCTTTCGAAGAATGTGAAATGCCCCTCAGGGCGATGGTTGTAGTAAAGAGACGCGGCGCTCAGTCGAGTCGTGAACTTGTCCGAGACGCAACCTCGAAGAATCGATTCGGAAATAGTTCTTGGGTTGTTAGAAACGAGGTTAGGCTGGTGGATCTCCAGTTCTCCCGCGAGAAGCGTCACTTTTATATCAATCTCGCACTTTAGGGAGGAGGTGAGAAGAGTCGCATGACGAATAGGTCGCACACATCTCGGGTAATCGGTCTGGCGTCGGTTACCGGAGATTGGGCAATTGCCGGCTAACGAGGGGTGTCATCCCAGGCGACAAATTGCGAGAAATCAGGAGCGCTCCGCACCGGGGACTTTCGTGGCTCATTTTTCCTCGCGTGCCGTGGCCGACGGAAACGTACCGTGGCGTAACGCGACGCTCGGACGGGCACGGTTGATTCCCGGGCAATTAGTCGTTGCGCAAGGTGGCCGGCGGGGCACGAAATGTCAGGCGGCCTCTGCACCGGCAAAGAAAAACGCTTCCTCATGGCTCGATGACGCGAAGATGGCTCGGAAAGATTGATCCCTGGAAGAACGATCGCGGGCGGTGAACGAACGGATGCTTGATATACCGTAGAGCGTATAAAAAAGTGGGAGACATTTCGTCGGGAATATGTTAGGTTGAAGATATGAAGATATGCTGCGCGCGCATTAGTCTTGATGCAGGAGCTTTACCAATGGAGTGAATATTAAAAAAAAAAAAAAAACAGAAAATCCGCGAAGAAACTGGACTTTACCCTGTTAATCAAATTCATACACGTTAAAGTGCATATGGTTGCAATAAAATTATGTATACGATGTCTTAACAGCGAATTAGTATACATTTATTATAAAATACTAAGTAAATTTACAATTTCATAACACCGATTTTCTGAAATTGCGGAGGAAAATCATCAATTTGATATTCGAGAGTCATTTGGTATGCATTGTTTGCAAAGAAAAATGTTATAAAATTGTAATATTTCTTTTAACAGTGTACGTCCGTTTCTATAAGCTATGTGCTTCGTACCTTGAGGCTCGAATAAAGGCGCCATCTTGTTTCCCGGGAACCGCCGACTCGGGTCGAGGGACCGTCGTCGTAAAGTGGGTTGACGAGACGAAGGGAGGAGGGCTGGGTACCCGTCAATGAGTCGCGCCCTGCCACCTGCAGGCGGGAATTACGCCGGCAGGGGTACAAGGGTAATTGGCAACCATGGACTCGTCCATTTGGGTCCTGGTGAGGACGGGTTAGGCCAGCTCGAGGGCCGACTCAGCCTCGGTGGGTCCCGAGCTGACGTTTCACGCGATAAAAACCAGTAGCTCCTTAACATCCTCGACCTCCTGGCTCCTCTCGCTCCCCTGGCTCCCCATGGCCTCCTCGTGGCCGGATCCCCATCGCGGCTAACCGACTCCCCCTCTCCTGCTTTCGTTCTACGCTTTACGGTTATTACCTATTAAACGCGTAATTGGCGGCGTTGGGACCGACTTTACCCGTCTCTCGTTTTTGCCCACAGCTGGTGTCATGGCGGGCTCCGAGAGGGACGCCGGGTTCTGCAGCGGGGCCGACGAGGACGACATGTCGGGCCTCCACTCGCCCAGCGCCTCCGAGGACAGCGTCGAGGTCCAGGTCACCCCGATCTCTCTGAGGAACAAGCGGAAGCTGGCGGAGCCCAGGAAGATCCAGGAACCCAACTCGGCGCCGCTGAAGAAGCGGAGGTTCGAGCAGATCGAGGAACCCAGCACCGTCGTGGACGAGGAGTCCAGACCGGCAGGCTCGCCGTCGCCCAGTCCCTTCAGACCCTGGAGCACCGGGGCTAAAACCACGGAGAATAAGCCAACCGTCGTGAAACCAACTCCTTCTTTGCCGACCTCGGAGGACGACGCCCAGAGGACGCAGGCCAGGCTCCAGGATGATCCTCTGCAGAGGTTGCAGAGCAACGGACTCCAGGATGACGCCGCGTCCACTCCTGATGGTCCTTATCTCCAGTTCTCGCCGCAAAGAAGAGACCCTCGCAAGAGGCTGGACCCTCCACCTCCACCGTTGGCTACTCCGGCACTTCCTCATCCCAGGTTGCAGGAGGAACCCCTGGCTCTCGTGCTCAGAGGAGAAGTGTCCAGAGTCCCGTCCCACCCCGCGGTCAGCGGGTCCTTCGACGTCCCGTCCTCCTCCTCGTCGTCGTCTTACCACCCCACGGATGTCCTCAGCCATCCTGGCCAGGCTCATTCCTCGCATTCTGGTCATCAGCCCAGGCACCAGGGTGGCCAACAAAGGAACTACAAGAACATGACACGGGAACGCCGGATAGAGGCCAACGCCAGGGAGAGGACGAGGGTCCATACCATCAGCGCCGCTTTCGACACCCTCAGGCGTGCCATCCCCGCCTACTCCCACAATCAGAAGCTGTCCAAGTTGTCCGTCCTCAGGATCGCGTGCAGCTACATCATGACCCTCGGCAAGATCGTCAACACCCCTGAGGGAGAGACCGTCACCGGTGCTCCTTTGGGAGCCTGCGTGGACCTGGTGTCGCGCACCATCCAGACGGAGGGGAAACTCAGGAAGAAGAAGGACGAATAGATCATGATCCTGCAAGGAATCATATCGACTCCGTCGTCGGAAATCAATCGTCCTGGTTGCTTCGCTAGGCTGAGTGCTGGTGAACAAACGAAGGACCAAGACCAAGAGCTCCATGGTTTTGGACTTGGTCTTGGGGTTGCACTTTTTGCAAGGCGCTCATTTTGCTCCTCGTCATGGCGGAGCCGTGTAGCTTTTGTATGCCCAGCTCTGGACCGATGGGAAGGTTAGGGCGGACAAGGAAACGAATAAGTCCTTCCATTCGCTTTATTAGAGTCGTTGGATCCACCGGGAACTTTGATCTCACCACGGGTGGCCTGCTTTGGTGTACTCCTATGGATCGCTCCATCGCGACCGGCCGCCATTTTGGTTTCGGAAGTTCCGCGCTAGGGTCACTTGACTTTTACTCAACGATGCTCAATGCTGTGCTCGCCGACTCGCTCGTAGATATCCTTAAGTCCTTAGAATTCATAAGTCCAGCCACTTCTGACAATACCGACCTAACCGAGGATTTAGGCTTAGTGGGTAGCGGTGGAGTAGACAATAGCGACGATGTCCGTCATCGGCGCAACAAAGTCTGACTCACGGCGGAGGATCATTCAAATTTTTCTCGACTTCCTTTTCTCTAATTCTCTAATCATCCGTGCCAATAGACACTAACGATCGCTCGCGTGTGTCCGACTTTGTTGAAACGGGTTCCTAGGTTCACGTCTTAACCCTCGACTAGGCAGATCCAAGGACGTATTTTCTTCCAATCTAAATAACCGTCGAACGTTAAATTCACGAAAAATGGACGTCCTAGTCAAGGGTTAATGGCGACGTCCGGAGTTTCGTGCTCGACTAGACTAGTAACGGTATCGTATGCTGCTTATTTCCCGAAATGTGCTTCTCGGTTTCCTTTTCAAAATCACTATCGGGGAGAAAACCCGTCGCAGACACAAAAGAAGACAATAAAACCGAGCCGAGGGCCGCGGAGACGCGCGCGATCGGCGAATCGCGATTCGCCGCCATCTTGGTTTCCCGAGGTTATCGATGCTTCGCGATATAATCGACGCTCCTCGGCTTATAAACTGCTGCCAATTGATTCGTATTCGTGGTGACGTCACGCCGGGCGAGTCAAGGTACACGGCTATATATCTGGCGGACGTTATATGCTTCGATATCTCGATATCTTGATATTTAACACCGGCAGATGGGGCGGCGGATCGCGATACCTCCAATATCGGTCGGTGACTGAATGCCAAGTACAAATCTGCGGCGATAAAACTGTTGATCGGTGAATTAGTACGATAAATCGATAAGTTCGCGGGGGGTGGGTGGGCGTTTCGAGTGGGAGGGAGTACAAGCGTGTAAATACTAGACTTTAACGTACCGCGGAGTTCTGTAAANCGATCGAAGTGCCGCCATTTTTTTTTACGCGCGATCGAAGTGCCGCCATTTTTCTTACGCGCAATCGGAGCGTGGATCACCTCTCTAATCGATTCAATCTGATCGACTCTTGACCGTGTTCTCACGGGTACCGACTGCGACCTGCCATCCATTAAAATGGAAAAAGAAATCGAACGGGAGCCTCTACAAATTAATACGCTTTTTAATAATCCCCTTAGAAAACTTCACTTCGCGATCTGACGTCCTTGCTCTTTTTTTTTTATATCAAGTTTTTATATCCGAGGCCGTGGAAATTGGATTATCCGGTTTTTGCGATTAAGTGCAGACGTTCCGAATGTCTCGAGTTGTCCGGTAATTAAGGTGATTCGGATAAGACACTTTTTTATTTATTTATTTTTTTTAAGGATATTCCCCTGAACTGGCTGAAATTTCAACACATGATTCGGGGATGTCTAAGGGATGTCCTGATACTTTTGAAATTTTGATTTTCATACATAATTACTTTGTTCAGCTTAGATTTTATTATTTTTCATTGGGTGTGAAATTCATTGGATGATTCGGATAAGACACTTTTTTATTTTTTTTTAAAGGTTATTCCCCTGAACTGGCTGAAATTTTACCACATGACTCGGGGATGTCTAAGGAATGTCCTGATATTTTTGAAATTTTGATTTTCATACATAATTACTTGGTTTAGTTTACATTTTATTATTTTTCATTGGGTGTGAAATAAATTTGAAGAGGTGTCTCGTTCGAATCGACTGGTTTGTCGGTTTTGTGTCACCTTAAAGAGGCCACGTGGGTGTTCGGAATGATAGAGGAGGTTTGCATACGTAATTTGTACGTATATGTCACGTCTGATGTCGGTCTCATCTCAGGCGAATCTCGTAGACCGAGAGGAGAAATCGCCGATCTCTTCCTGCCATTAATAGTCGCCGATCGGAAGCTGCAAGTCGTTGATTTATCGATACCATAACCGCGCCAGGTGATCGTGAGAACCTCTCGATTCGACCTGGCGACCTAACCTAACATTTACGAAACATAATGCAGACCGCCTGAGATTCATTTATCTTCGCAACAACATTGAAGGCAGAAGTCCGGATTCGTGCCGCTCTTTTTCTTCGGCTGATAAGAGCACTCGAGGCGCCGCGAAAAGATTCCGCACTGATAAGGCGCGACTTTGCGGAATCGCATGCAGAATGCGACCACGGCCGAGTAAACGGGAAACGTAAATATGTTTGCGACCGTTTCGATGTTTATTACGTGTATTACGTTTATTACGTGCCGCGGGATGTTTGCTCTCGGCCCCCGAAATCGACGCTCCCGGGGTTCCGGGTGTTGCGCCAATTGATAAGAAGAAGCACGCTCTTCTGCTAAAAGAAGGAACAAACATGGCGGTGAGCACACCGGCACTGAACAATTGCTGATTCCTCATTCAAGGAATCCCAGGAGACTCTTTCGCAATTCTTCAAAACCGTAATTTTAAACATTACAGATTTTTCTAAGTCCACAACAGTGCACTTAACATTTAAATCCGTTATTTAAGGCGATCTCAAAGTGGCGTCGGAAAAATCTCGATTATGAAATTTCAATTTTTCTTTAAATTTGTTTACGGACTTTTTTTCATATTTTATTATAACTGAAATTTTACGGTGTCAGAAGCTTTTTTCAGACCTCTAGATTTACACGGTAAAGTGCCAAACGATTCGATACATCGCCTTAAAAAGTGGAGCTCAAAGGAGAACTCGACCAAATTTAGAGGTTAGGGACTTCTAGCTGGATTCAAGGCGCGGGATTAGATGGCAAATACCGGAGGCACGGCTAAGTCAATGCATGAACGTCGTGAACTTCGGAATCGACGATCTAATTGGAAGCTGACACGCGCACGGCAGCGCCTCCAGGCAGTTGCGAAACCGATTTGCAAAGTTATGCGCTCGTTCGCACGCGCTACGATAATCGAGTCGCCTACCTGTCTGAACGCATTGCGTCGATGACCGATTCAAAGTCGTAGCGAATCCGCGCATTGCGCAGGTTGTAATCGATTGAAATCGCTCGTTCAAGGCCGCTTCTTGCAAGTCAAAGCGTCGCGCCGGCCGCCATCTTGGATTTCCTCGAAGCGCCCCGCGAGGGACATTTTCATTCCGGAATTTAATCGCCCGAAATCCGCGTTAATCCGTACCTTTCGCGTGCATCGTTCGGCTCGTTGTCGTGAGTATTCAAAGTCGTAGCGAATCCGCAAATTGCGCAGGTTGAAATGGATCGAGATCGCTCGTTGAACGCCGCTTCTTGCGAGTCGGAGCGTCGCGCCGGCCGCCATCTTGGATTTCCTCGAAGCGCCCCGCGAGGGACGTTTTCATTCCGGAATTTAATCGCCCGAAATCCGCGTTAATCCGTACCTTTCGCGTGCATCATTCGGCTCGTTGTCGTGAGTATTCAAAGTCGTAGCGAATCCGCAAATTGCGCAGGTTGTAATGGATCGAGATCGCTCGTTGAAGGCCGCTTCTTGCGAGTCGGAGCGTCGCGCCGGCCGCCATCTTGGATTTCCTCGAAGCGCCCCGCGAGGGACGTTTTCATTCCGGAATTTAATCGCCCGAAAGCCACGTTAATCCGTATCTTTCGCGTGCATCTTTCGGCTCATTGTCGCGTTGTGAGTATAATAAGCGAGAGGGTTGGATCAGTGATCCGCCGTTATTACGGAATGCACGAAACAGCGGTAATTGAAGGCGCGCGTTGCAGATGCGTGCCTCGGCCGGGCAGATAGCATCGATCGCGGGATTTTTGCGGGCCAAGTTTCGCGTAGCTCGTCCCAAGTGGGGAGTTTTAATGGCGATGCAAGTACCAGAGGTGCTCGTTATACGGCAACAGTTGTTCCCCGTCCATTGGCGAGCTCCTCTAGCGAAAGTGCGACTCGAGGCTGCAGCTGGCGGCGACGCTAACTTTTTCTCGCGCCGTTACCCGGCGTCGTCAAAGAGCGATAAACCTCGCGTAACCGGCGATACCTGTCGGCGATCCGTTGATAACGAGCCGCCGCAAATTAATGGCCAAAGCGAACGTGTTTATCCCGATTCTCCCCCTAGGTTCCATTTATTTCATTGTGGATTTTTCCCTAAGCCTCGTAAACATCCTCGCGGCGTTTCAAATATGCCTCGAGAGAATCCAAGATGGCGGACCCTCCCGCGTCTCCGCAAGACCGCGCACAAGTTTCCGCGACTGGCCGACTCGATTGCTCCCCCGGAAGTTGAACCAATGGACGGTAAAAACTCCATCCCCTTTTTTGCGGTTACATCTGTCCAAAAGGCGAGGCTAAATCTTGCCGGGCCATCAAAGGGCGATAAACTTGACGTGTCCCGCAGTCCCCGGGTGATACATTCGCATCGAGGCGTCGTAAATAAATCCCGGCCGGCGCAATCTAATTAACATTACAGCGACGCCGTAACTCCGTCGGATTTTCGCGGTCCCATAAGTCCTCAGGCGAGAAGAAGCGGGAAAAAAGCTCGGTCACACGTCGGGGATCACTCGGACCCTTCGACGGGGTTTAATAAATAGCCGCGACGCCGGCGTCGCTTTTGCAAATTGAAACGGGGGGAGGGAGGGAGGGGATATTCGCATAAAATAAGGTGACAGGGCGGATTCATGGGCAGGGGCTGAATCCCTCGTTATCGGGGATCGATTATTACCGGGGATGCATCCTGATCGCCACCTGTTTAGCATAAGGGTAAATTGCCTAAGAAAGTAATGGCCGCGCTTCCTCTTTTTTTCTCCTTTTCTCCTCGTTCTGCCGTCCATTTTTCTCATCCTCCTCGCCTTCTCTTCGTCCTACACGTTCTGGGCGAGAGTTTCCCTCTCGCTCTCGTCGTTTTGCGCCTTCATTCTGGTCCAAGAGTCATCGGTGCAGCAGGTGGCAATGGCTACCAAGAGGCTAACAAGTGCCCTAACTGATCGCGCACTTTCTGCCGCCTCGTTCGAGGAGGTGCGCGCGCATGTGTGCGCAGATGCGGTATTACATCGGTTTATTTTATGTACGCGCATTCGGCGTACACATATGTACCTTTGTACGCCAAGTGGGAACGGCCATCGGGGAAGTCTGTCCAAATACGAGACAAGACGACTCGTTACCCCGTAATGAACATCTGCCCTTGGAGCTTGCTCCTGCTGCTCATCGTGACGTTTCGTGGCGTAATCGACTTCCGGTCGAGCACGTTCCGGGCCCTGCGGCATTACGTACCGGGTAATTGAACGGTTCTGGATTACTTCAGTGCCTAATAACTTCTCTCGAGACTTAACTGACTCTCAAGGTGCTCCATAAATTTTTAAAGTATTTACTTTCCTTTTTTATTATTCATTTCCCGCTTTTTATTTACCCTGGCAGAGGTGCGGGTAACTTCAAACTGCAGTAATGGCCCTAAATGAATTTCGGAATTTCATTTTTTAATTCTTTCATAAGTGTGACATAAATTCGTCAGGTAGGCAGGGTTATTATTTTGGGATAAAATCCTTATCGCGTTCATATCGAAGGCTCATAAAGTGCAGGTTATCGGACGTCCAGTTGGCATTAATTAGACAGATGTATCGAGCCAGGATATCGAAGACGCGAGCAGACGCCCAAAAGGCGATAATAAAGGTGTAAATATATTAACGCGTAAAAATAATTTCGGTACATTGTATGATCCCATGGTACCAATATCATCAGTACCTGAGTATAGTTATTAATTATATATGTAGAGAAATTATATTCCAGTGATACCACTGCCCAACACATCCTGTGGTTCCAGGGATACCACCAACCAGGAGCACCATCTTTTTCACCCCAGCATCCGTTCTACCTCTTTTTCGACCATCGCTTTCCCCGGCGCGACCATCGCACACCTTCGTGTCGATCTTTAACTCTTATCAGATCCGCGGCCTTAACGAGCCGGCCGTTAAATCGGCCGGTCTGGCATTTTCAG